GAGCACTCTGGTCTTCCTGTAGAGAAAGCACAGTGTGATGGTTGCAGAAGACAGCCCCTGACGAAGGAGAAGGGGAAGGGAAGAGACAATACAAATTCATAACTACAATATACAGTGGTAGAAAAGACAGTCTAGGGAATATAATCAATAATGTTGTAAATATTTTTTAGGGGCCAGATGGACTCATGTCTTGCCAGATGGACACACTTCATGGACGGTGTAGATGCCTGACCACTGCACTGTACATCTGAAGCTGATGTTGAATAATATTGTATGTCAACTATAATTATACATACATATAGTCACAGGACGTGGAGTAGAGTATGGGAATGGAGTCAAAGGAATTGTAATAGATAAGCATGATATCGGGGGTGGGAGGGCAGTAGATGGTGGAGGGGGTTGTTTCTGTGTGAAGGGTGAAAAGGATAACTATTGTATTGTTCTGTACACCTGAAACTAACAATAAAAACTTAAAAAAAAGAAGACAGCCCCTGACAAACACATAAGAAGGAACCTACAACCTTGGGGTATTGAGTATCAATCACACAAAGCAAACACGATATCCTGAAAGTAAGCCTATGCAAGCCACCCATAAGGCCAGATCTCTCTCTGACGAAGGATTCTTTAGGGACTTCACAACCCAGGACAGTTACTCATGTAGTTTTGGGACGCAGAAACACGACAGCAGTCAGTCACACTGGCCCTAAACGATTGGCTTTCTAGTGTCTTTCTACATGCAGGTTCTTACTTGTTCTTCACCCATTCACTAGCTGACCCACCTGAGCTGTTTCTACTTTAAGACGAACAGTCTTATCCCCATGACCATGAAGTTTCCTCATTTCATTTATTCTACATTTTGGAGACTTGGAAAATTAGAGCCACAGAGCAACCAGCCACCTCTGGATCTCTGGCAAGTCTGATAAATGCATAAAGTCCTTTCATCTTTTTCTTTTGGGCATATAAAACATCCTTTAACAAAATTATTACTTATACTTCATGATGATGCAATTGGGAAAATGGTTTCCTCCAATCAATCTTTTTTACTATTTTCCCTTTTAATCCAAAAATAACTTATTTGTTTATCTGCTAGAAGTTAATAAAGCCAGGCATCAAAACATGTTTAAACTGTTTGCATTAAACATACAAGTTAGTGTCTGCCACAATAAGTTTTCCAATGTACACATATAAAGTGATCCCACAGTTGAACCCCAAGTATGTAGGAAGCTAGATGGAGACAGTCTCCCCTCTGTCTGTGAGCAGTGATAGTGCTTCGCTTTGTAACCACTACTAAAAGCAAGTATATTTTCTGTTGAAATCTACTGTATCCATCATCTCTGTATTCCTGCATCGTTTCAGGAATTTTGCAGTATTGCAAAAGGAGTATTTTTAACAATTGGCTTAAATGTTCCAGGTAGACATTTGCACCAAATTAACCTACAATTACAGAAACTTTAAACAATGCCACCTGGTGCCTTGTGCTTAACTTGGAGGCTTGTTACACTGGAGCACAGTTTGGGATACACTTACTATGCAGTTAAACCACGAATTCGGGACTTGGGGGTCAAGATGATTTGTGCAGGCTTTAGGGTATATTCATACAATCTGTGAGCCCCACTGTGGAAGCCTTAGTATCCAGCTCACCCTGGCCACTGACTGATCCAGCTGTATTACCTTAGGCAAGTCCCAGAGTCCCTAGATACAGAGTTTTGAATTATTAATTAAAGTAAACAAACGGATGTTGAGTTACCAGCTTACCATTTACAACAATGTAGTTAAACTTCTGTTGAAAATCTTGTTTCTGAAAATTTATCTTCGGGATTAAAAACACAAAAACAACCTCTTAAAGAAGAATTTAGCTCTTTATACAGTTATAGAAAGTTTAGAGAAAATTGGACATATTTGCTCATTAAAACTAAAATCTATACCTCTGAACTGTGTGCTTCCAGTTTCAGTGGGATTCTGGGCTACACTTCTTTCCCTGAACCACCAGGGGTCATGATTTGAGCTCTTCGACAGAGAACAGAGCATGCTGGCTGTGTTACAGAATGTCAAGTGGAATTTTTGCCTGGTGTCCCAGAATTGTGGCAAAGGCCCAAAGCCAAGAGCTAAGCCACTAAAGACCCTTTCTTAGTCCAGAGAGCTGACAACATCTGCCTGCAGCTGGAACCTGTAGTGGGGCCTGCAGGCTCACAGAAAGTCCCCAGAACCAACCTGACTTCCAAGGGCATTCCACCCCCAACTCAGATTATACAAGAAGAAGGAGAGAGTCTGTCGTTTGGAGAGGAGGGCAGTGCCCATGGAGAGAGGGTAGGCTTTACTCTCTCCAAAGTCAAGTGAGGGACCCCAAGAGAATCTTTCATTAAGATGGGGTGTTGGCAAGAAAGAGAGGAAAACAGTTTATTCCATGGCCCATATCTGCTTAGTGCCTGACTTTCTGATCTGCCCCCAGCAGAGGAAAAGAGATGTGAGGTCCCGGCTGAGGAGGGAACAGCAGTGGAGCAGCCCACACCCCTCTGATGGCCGTGCCAAGAGTGCCAGGTCTCCCTGCAGATGGAGCGGTCATCGCCTACAGTAGCTAAGTTCATATTGTTGCCAATTCCTCACCTAATGTTCGCCAGCCAGGTAGGGAACGCAGCACAGGAGGCCATAGCTGGAGGTCTTTCGAGGGGCTGAGGGGTGTGTTTAGAGGGGGCTGAGGGGGACCCAGCAGAAGCACCAGGTGGGGAGACCTGCAGTAGCCAAACAGGTGCCCTGGACCCAGGCTGGCCACAGGGAGGGCTTCTGTGGGCAGCCTGTATCAGCCACAGAAGCAACAAGGAGGGAACTTCAACCTGCCCAGGATGGAGTGACACCTGTGCCCTTTGCCTCTCCCTCTCTCTATCCCAAAACTCTAGAAGGGCTAGGCTCAGAAGAGAAGTGGGCACTTATGAAGGACAGACCACACCCTTCTCTCCACACAAGCACACACGCCAGGAAAACTAGTGTGACCTCCAGAGAGAGTTTGAGGTTGAAATTTAAAAATGAATGAAACTAAATCAAATATCAAAATATGATTGTGATAAACCAAAGTGACTATAAACTTACTGGTTAACCAGCGGTTGAGTTCACTTACTAGTTTTTACTACCCCTTTAAAAGAAGGTCTGCTCTTTTCCCTAAACTGGGATTGCAGTGAACCAGATTGTCTAATGGGGCTGAGTAAACAAAACTCACACATACACACACATGCACACATGCACCCATGTACCCATGCATGTGCACATACCAAGTACATGCACACATGCATACATATACACATGCACACCCATACATACACAGGCGTGCATGCGCGCACATACACACACACAAACACATCAACAGTTCATGGAACGAGGAGAGCAAACCTTCAATATTATGAATAAACTCAGTTCCTTTTGATAAACAAACAGCTATAAATTCAACTTTATGGATAAAAGATACACCGTAATGACAGCCTACACAGTGGGTGTGGAGAAAGGTGAAGAACCTGCCAGCCCTTATGGGGGTAGGCCAGTGCCAACCTGCTTCCTTACCTGCAAAATGTGGAACTTGGATCAGGAGGTCTCTAGAGTCCCTTGCTACTCTCTGATTTTGTAACTGACATGTACATCTTCATTAAAGCACACTGTTTATTTCTCATGTCCTTTTTTAAAGCACATAAAATTGCACTACACTGAAACTTTCAACTCCCAAAGGAAGTTGACTCCTCTGAGGGGGGTGTTTCCCATGTCCAGAGAGGAAGGCAGCCTCCTCCTCTACACAGACTGGTGCCCTCCCACCTCCCGCCTCCAACTTGCCAATGGCCTGAGCTCGAGGCTGCTTCCCTGTGAATTGCTTTGAACTTGGAGCCCCAGAACAGTGCAGTGACTTACCAGTGTTGCACAGCTAGTTAATGTGCTTGGCTAACAGACTGGTTCTCCTAAGCACCTATCCAGAGCTGAAACTTAATCAGATTTGCTCACATATTACACAGAGTAGGGAGAACATTGTCTCCCCAGAGAGGCTCCCCGCTTTGCCATAATCTAATCCAGGCACTAAGAGATCACATGTTGCCATTTCCACAGCCACTGCCCCTCTCTGGGCCATCCTGTTTGTTATATTTGTCTCCACTTCCGTCCTGGTCTCCCCATGGCTCCCCCTCTTCCTCAACTCTACCCAATTTCCCAAACTTAATAATAACATTCTATACAGCACTTTACTGTGGACAAAATGCTTTTGCCTGACAGCGCATTATCTAAATTCCACCATAGTTCTATCTTGTGGTTAGTGTCTAACCCCACTTTACAAATGAGGGTATTGAGAGGGTAAAAAGGGACCCTCCCAAAGTGGCAAGGCTAGTGTTAAAAACAAGACAACAGGCCCAAAATGGAGTCGCTTAAGCAAACTGAGACTTAATTACAGTCTTGTGTGTCTCTCCCCAATAACAAGTTTACACTGGTCAGCCTCAGTTAGGAAATCTGCCTGATAGAGCCCTGCCATTCCCTACAGAAAAGTACCATGCAATAGCCCATCGCACACAACTTTCTTGTTCCTGCTCCCTTCTGCCTATAAGTCTCTCATTTGTACACCTCCTTGGAGCTCCTTGATATCTACTAGATTGGATGCTGCCTAATTCAAATCAATTTTTTTTCATATGCATTTTTAATGGGTAATTATCATCAAGTCACAAATACATTTCAGGTCGAGGCAATTTCAGATAAAAGTTTACATTTGAGTTGTAACTTTCTGAACTGCTACATATTTTGCAGAAAAACTTAAATACTACTTCATTAATTTAGAAAGGTAAATTCTGCAAATTCTATTAAAATTAAGAGGCAGAAAATACTGAATAAAATTATGGATAAAGATATTCTATTGCTAGCATACTAAGTCACAATAAATTTTCAACTACCACACACAATAAAATCTTTCTGATAATTACAGTAATACTTTTCATTGTTATATGGAACACAACAAAAATTACATGTAAAACCATCTACTTGCACATTTTTTTACTAATAAAGAGTAAGTCTGTACCTTTGGAGCATATCCATAATTGAATGAACCCATTTTTTCTGAGAGTCAGAAACAAAGGCCTGTGAATTTGTTATTCCTATATCAACAACACAAGTTCCAGGAGCTGAAAAGAAACTATTTTCTTCTTCATTTTCTTCTGTTATCAACCTAGTGTTTCCTCCTCCAAAAACAACTGCTGAACTCAATTTTTTATGCTGTTTGGCATTCAGGAATACAAATGTTTTCCCTTTGAAGATCTGTTTTCTTTCCTGTCGTTCTGACAGGTCAATATTTTCACTCCCAATAGCTGGTTCATCAATAGGTGGGTAAAAACTTTCAAGTGGTGGAAACTGTCTATTGGACTGAACTGCTTTAAGAAATTCAGTAAAATATTCCGGCTTTATAATCGGACGTCCACAAATGAGTGCACATATTGTTTTAATGGTAACTTCAACTGATACCATGACAAGGTGAGTGCATCCTTCGGTCCAGTTGTTTACAGTAAGTCCTCCAAGTTGCAATACTGCTTGATTTAAAGCGGTTTTCCCAGCGACATCTAAGCAAGAAGAGCATGCAACCAAAGGCTCATACTCTACTCTGAATTTACTTTCAAACACTCCAAAAGTAACTCTATCTCCTGTATTCAAAGTTCGGGTAAGGCAGTCTGCATTATTTCCTCATTAACAAAGGTACCATACTTAGAATTATCTTTTACTGTCAATATAGGGATTTCATCTGATTGACTCAGGTGGGTTACCGAGAAGTTAGCAGTTAACACAGCATGATTCCGGCTGACTGACTGATCGTTTTCAATTAGAATGCCACAGTTTTTCCTTCCGACAACGTACTCAGTGCCCTTCAAGATTCTGTAGGGTTCTCAGCTCCTTCACACAGCAAACCCCTGGCCTCACCAGCGTAACGTGCTGTGTCTCCTCCAAGTTGGACACACGACGCGTCACAGCCGACTCCCTCCACTCTCTCGTCGGGCTGCCACCCCGCAGAGGCCAGGAGCCGGGCCCACCTCGGGGACCCCGCGGACCCGACTGGCCCGAGGCTCCAGCCCTCACAACCCTACCTCAAATCAATTTTTGCTCAAGTAAACTCTTACAATTTTTCATGTACCTCAGTTTATCTTTTAACACTAGTAAACGGTAGGTGTGAGGATGCGTTCTCAGTCTTTGCTCACCTGTCTTTGTTCTTCCCCATTCTTTAAGATTGTGATATTTTTAAATAAGAAACTATGCTCTGTTACAGAAAATAGTGTTTGTGCACTTAAAATGCAAATCATGTTAGTCATGAGTGTTTGATCTTACTGCCCCCGCCCCCATTCTAATTCACTTATATCCACTGGAAAGGTGGATGTTTCTGTCTTTTGTTGTTCTCTTCCCACTGATTGAAACAGTGCCTGACGCTTAGAAGAGATTCAAGAAATATTAATTGAATAATTAATATGAATAATTTAATGATACAAACCAACCAGTATAAAATGCCAGTAGAAACTCTTTTAGAGTTAGAAACATAGCCAAAGGCAATCCTCCTTGTGGAAAGCTATTTTTAAGTAAAATAGAATGATTCTAACAAGATTAAACGTGATGAGAATTGTGATTTTGGTTAAGAGGGTATTTATCTTTTCTTTTTCCCCTTTCCCTAAGCCACTGCCAGCATGACCCAAGAGGATCGCCTCCCAGTACCCAGTGGAGGCGAAAGAGGAACCTAGAATCTGTGAGTGCTTGAGTGTGTATGTGAGCGTGCGTGTGTGTGTCTGTGTGTGCTAGCATGCGCGCACAAGTGTGCTACAAAAGGGAGAGAAAGAAGTGGGTGATAAACAAGAATGGGAAGGGAAAGCTGTAGGAAGCAACCTCCCACCTCTTTGCCACTTCCAGAAGTTTATATAACAACAAATATATTCAGGAAAACTTTGCTTCCACTACCAGTGGAACAGACACCAGAATAACAATGAAGAACCTCAGAAAGCAGAACTACTAGAAGCCGTTTGGCTAGCAGGCTAAACGCTCACGTTTTACAAAAAAGCTCTCATCTGGAACCACTGCCTCAAGTGTCTTTCTCTGCATATCCCATAAGAAATTATGCAAACGTTGCCACTTAAATTAACTCAGAAGGCAAAATTTATCAGAACATTGCATTGCTGATTCTTCATGAAGCCTAAACAAAAGCCTTTTGGCCTGAGAGATGTTTACGAAAATCATTTCCATAGCATTGGGCTCACTGAACTGAAAATGAATGAATCAGAATGAACTTTAAAATCATTTGATAAAAATAAATAAATTTCGATATAACCATGACATTCCACCCTCTTCATTCTTTTGTTTGGTAAGATCCTACTTGGTACTGGGTCATTTATTTCCCATCCTTTCCCCCCACCAATCCCACCTCTTGGATTGAAGGACAGTGATATACAAATAAAGAGAACCACCCAGCCCCTGCCACCCCCTGAGGAGGGGCACGCTGGGCTTGTGGGTTGAAGCACAGCAGACTACTCCTCTAGGAGTTAAAGCCACCACCTAATCAGTGCAGAGTCAGCAAAGGCCACCTTGGACAGGTGAGCTGTGGGAGAATGGAATGAGACTGCCATGTTTTAGATTATTGAAATGCACAGTGATTCTAGTGCATTGTTTAGAAAGTGTTGAAACAGCATTTACTCCCTCCATAACATCTAACATATAACACCTAATATTGACATAGCACTTTCTCAGAAGTGGTAAACGATTGGTCTAGATATCAGGTTTTTCAGGCTTTTGTTGAGCCCATCTAGTATGCTTTTTTATTGAATTAGGTGCCATCATTTAAATTTTGGGACACTTTACATTAAAAAAAATAGATTTCCAGCTGCTTTTAAGAAACAATAAGATCTTCCAATGTCAGTCCCTTGTATGAAACAAAATCTCTGGAACTGAGTGGCAGCTGACCTTTTTAGACAGGACATGGTATCTCTAGGTCACCACAGTCCCCACCACTTTCTATTACCTTACACACAACCCATTATGACATATTACCTGCCTGACCCACTAAAATTTGCAACTTCTGACTTTCCCTCAACAAAGCCCTTCTGAAAATGTTCTTTGAAAAGTAATTTTGTCCACAGTGTGAAATTTGATATGGAGGAAGGCAAGGCTTGAACAGGTATCTGTCCTACAAACAAAGCATTAGCTTTATTTGAAAGTAAAATCTTGCCCTTTAATATGTGCCTTGGTACTTATATCAAAATTTGGAGCACTTAAGAAATGAAGGCAAATATTTTCCTGACATTGTCAAACATCTCCAAATACCAACGATGTGCCCTCAACCTATTAAAACCATTATTCTGAAAACTGTACTGTCAACGTGAATACAGCATCCCATCTGAAGGGCGCTGAGCCTAGGTGTGTCACAACTAGAGCTACAGAAGTGTGGCTTGCTTTCAAAAGAGATAAATATCTCAGCTCCTATTTGTATCTAAATACCCGCACATTCACACACTCACATGCACTCACATACACTCGCACTCATAACACACACTCATACACACATTCACACACAGGCTCATGCACTCAAATACACAGACACACACAATCACATGTAGTCACACTCCAGTGTACACACAGTCACACACACGTTCACACAGGTGCTCACACACTCTCTCTCATGTATACACACTTTAATATTGGAGAGCCAGTGTGAAGAGCACCATGTATCACTCTGTGGGGCCCAGAATGGAAGAAGGAAAATGAAGATTTATTTCAATTTTCTGAATCTTGTTAGCTCACTTTTACATTTCAAGCAGGGAGGGGTGATCAGTCTTGGTCTGGGGATCCAGGTCTTGGAAGTTTCCATCCTCATTATGCATTCTAACTGCCTGGGGAAACATACTTTTCACATTTCAGCGTTAGCCTGACCAGTGAGTTTACAATAGCTATAGTCTCTAATAAAGGGCATCACCAGCTTTCCTGGAATACAAACTCAAAAAAAAAAAAAGTTTAATCTATATTTATCCCACTATACTAAAAGAGGGAAGGGTGAGGATACTGTCATGCTGCTAATAGAAAAAATGGAGCAACAGTGAAGTAAGATAGGGCCGCACCTCAAGGGTAGTCTACAGGGACTTGGGGAACTGAGTTCAACCCCAGCTCTGTCACTCACTAACTCAGATGCTTTGGTTAAGCCCCTTGAACTTTCTGAGTCCAGTTTTTTCCTTCACTGATAACAGAAGTTCTTTTCAGCTGCAAACTTTGGCCAGTTTAATTGGGTACTAGTAGGTGGGTCGTTTTTCTTTGCAGAATCTGACCTTAACCAGCTCCTGGCAGGGCCATGCTCTGTGTAACTACACACTGACCCCAGGGCAACTCATTGCTGGAGCCTCTCAGGCCCCTGACATGCTCCTTAAGCAATCAACACAAACTCAGACTTATCTCTCTGCTTTGTCATGACACGTTTCTCTCAGGGAAGCTTGTGCTCACACGCTGAGGACATAGGGCGGAAGTGAGGCACTGTGGTCAGTCATCTCTACAGGTGCTGCTTCACATGGGGTGGAAGCGAGAAAGAGCTATAGCAGCATCTGTCTTCTGAGACTGACTGCAGCCTACCCGCCTCAGGTAATAAAAGGCTTTGTGTAAACAAAGAAGACTCACTGGTACCTACATCAGAATTTATCATCCTTGATTCTCCCTGCCCCCAAACTGGACTAAAATCTAGCAGGTTAGACACACAGACATCAGATAACAGTGTGGCTCTGCTACAGTTTTCATTTCAACCGTAGCAAAACCTGAGAAGTAGGTAACACATGTGTGAGCTCCACTTCTCCTTGGACTTTCAACCCCAACACTGCGTGCTACCCCCCAGATTCCAGGGTGTTCCACAATAGCACTCCCTAATGGCAAAAACCATCTTAAACCTTTGCTCTTTGTTCCCTTTGAAACCTAAAAGTCCTATGGCCCTATCCACAGCTCTTTGCCAGAAAAACCAAGATAGCATGGATGGATGCATATTTAACTTGGGCAAATTCAATCATACACGGGTAGAAAAACAAAACAGAAAATATATATTTATATAAACACAAGCCCAGTACCTCCCCTAGAGTTCAATAGAAGTAGAAATAATCTAGTCCAACTCTGGAGGGGGACACTTCTGTGTGGGGCTCATCAAGAAGCAACACAACCCATAGAACCAGACCCACAGTATTTATGGACCCAGAACTAAGCGACACCACTGTGACTCAAGGCAAAGAACTGACATATGATAAAAGCTTAATCCCTTATCTCCTATGAATCATTTTTTCTATTTTAACAGGGCTCTTCAGTGCTCAGTACAGAGCTGGAGTTACTGTAATTGTTTTTATTTTGTTTTGTTTTTTAGCTGAGCCATCCTGCCACCTGTTGGCATCTCAGCTGTAATTTCCTGTTACCTACAGGATAAGTAAGGGACCACAGCAGTTATGACCCACCTGCTTCACCTCCTTCCCTCAGGCCTCAGCTCCAGCCACGCTAGTCTTCATTCTGGAAACTGCCATACACTTTCTTTAATTTTCTGACTTCCTATTTTTTTCTATTAAAACAATATAAATGCATAAAAAGTTGAGTTCAACAAATATAAAGTAGCAAAAGCAATGCTATGTACATTTTTATTCTAGACCTTTGTGTACATAAAAGATGAGTTCATTCCATATAGACATTTATATTTCCTTATTTTTCTCTTAATACCGTATAACATAAGCACTTCCCCATGACATTAAAATCTCTTTGTAAACAGCATTTAAAAGGGTTTCAGAACAGTCTATGATATGAATATTTAGCAATGTTCTTAGGTGTTCCCTATGGAATAGAGTATTTAAGTTTCATCCGTTTTTCACTATGACAGCACATCCTGATCACATGCACTTTATG